TATTTGATGCCAACTTCTATTGCATTAGAAATTTCCATACAAATTTTCAGTCTTCCGCAAACGCTTTTTGTGAGCTTTTGTTATAAGTTAATACCCGCACTTGTGGTGTCCAGTCGTCTCATATACTACGGATAACGTCCGGGTTATACAGCCGCTGTAAATTATCGTCCCTCGATGAAGTCAAAGTTAGAGAAACTCCCATTCAATTCCGTATAAATTCTGCTCCGATGTGCCTGCGGGAGCTTTAGGAAACGGATTTGTGAAGGAGTTCTTGTAATATCGTCGTGTTCAATGAGAATATTTTACAGTAGCAAAGCGCATGGAAGCCATAGATTTACGAGCTTTCGAGGGTAGGTGGAACAGTTGAACTGAAAGAAATCCGCGTAGAATGCTTAGCAGCAGTAGTGTCCTATTTCTCTCAAGATACAATGGAAATTTTAATTCATAGGTGCGAGCTATTCGATATTCTATATTATTAAAATATATTCTCAATATAGCTAGGTAAATATTAAAGTTTTTCCTGGATATTCTCAATGGAGTTAGATTATTGTGCTACTTCCACGGTTGGAATACGTATCAATGCAGCTGAAGGAGCCACAAAGCTACCGTGTTTCAATCCCCTCACGGAACCACAAACCAACCGTGATCCACGGCACCCATAAGATTTATTAGTTCCTTGTAGCTCGACATGTGCTATCATACAAGGACATGCACAAAAATACGATACAAAAAAGTTATCGCCACAACTGGAACAAGTAAGAATGTTGTTGTTACCGGAGCTTGCTCGGTAATATCACTACATTTATTTAATGAATGGTTTCAAGTAATTTTCAGTGCAAAGTGAATGACGAAAGATGATTTAAATTAATAATTGTCTCTTGCAGTACCATAATGTCAATATATTCACAAATAAATTTGTTTCTGCAAATAAATATTCTTAAATAAAATGAATGCTGCATTGTAGCTGCGCTTTTTGTTCGTCATTTGATTACCAGGTTCACGCTGGCAACGTGTAGAGTGAGCTACGTTGACTCCCGTTTTGATTGATCATCGGTTGCGTCGGTCAAGAATCCGTATCGTGAATTTAGTTGAAATGTCATTAATTTTATTACCTCAACTACCTGTTTTTCATGTCGATTAAGTAGTTACAACCGTGGTGCCTCTCACGATTTCTTTCTGAGTGGCGGGTAAGCGTAATGTCTGATAGTTTAGAATATCGTCTTCTTATTTATGCAGTTATAAAATTGCTGTGATAATACTAGGCATGAACTAGCTCAACACCAATGACTGGGATACAAATTCCTTCAATTCATATATCATTCCTCGTGTTCCTTGGATTATTACTGCTATATTCCCCAATTGTGTTGCTCTGTGTTTACTGTGATTTTAGGGTGAACTTTCAATTTATTTTCCCGTGCTTTTGTTGGTTTTTCAGGTGGAAGTGGGGTCAGTATTTTAAGTCTACTTGCGTACCAATTGTCCTCATCTGAATACGAATGAAAGGTGTCTAGTTTTCCTCGGTCATTGGTCGAATGCAACGGAACGGTCGCTGAATTTTAAAATTGGACGCTAGCAGCCGAAACCTCATCAAGCTTCAGCTGTGATGACAAGCGGATGCGCTGATGTTGACTTCGTCAGTCGTCGACACACTAGTCTCGACGGGCATGTAGCGAACCTTAATAAATTGGAAGAAGATACGCAGGAGACACCAGAACGGCCAAGCATGAGCAATTTATTTGTTTAACAAAAGGTTATTTGTTTTGTTTAGCTTGTGAATGCTTGTAGTAAAGTTATTAATTTTTGTTAGTGGGCCACAAATGGACTTGATTTTTAGCTACACATTAGAATCTAGCAAATTGTAACTCTGGTCGAATCAGGTTTCAATTCATTTTCACTACCGCGAACATCATGGACGGATAGCCAATGTATGTTGAAGTTCTTCCGCAACAGCATGCAAGTCTAAAGACTATGAATACCACGGATAAATTATTTCTCTGAATTCTGTATCGCTGTAATGCTTTAACAGAACCTTTGCAGACAAAACTGTGGTTATGCAATAACTAGAATTCATTTGAATGGTACTTGCATGTATGGAAATCTTGACATTGTTGTAGACCGTTTATGAACTCAGCATTGTTATACGTCATTGAAACCTTCTCATATCTCACTGCTACAAATGACTCTTCGTAAATACTCGCTTTCTCCGTTTTAATGTGCGAGAATAGGTTGAATGATATCTTGAACGAGCTACTGTAGCTTTTTAACGGCGCACTATGCATACTGATTAGCGGAGGCTATTTCTGTGATGGAATGCACACGCTCGAGGGCCTCTTCAACTAAATTGTAATTTTATCAGGCAGCAAGGTTTACGATCAACCTCTTTGACGAACCGCTTTGCTATGAGAACATGAACTTTAATTAATTAGGGCACTGATTAGAACTGAACTTGGGAGGCGTCACTTTAATGTTATTGATAGATTTACGTAAAATATTGAAGGCAATTATTATGTGTTCTTATATTTGATCAGCAAAACACATAAGAGTATGTCAGGAAAATTTTCATAAGTTAGAGTTGTCCAGAATATTCTAAGAAAGAATTAGAGTTTTCAGACACATTAATTATATGAAAAAAAAATTAAAAACTAATTCATTTCTCCATCAATCGATAATTATACTAATATTTTCTTCTACAACAAGTGGTTTCTTTTTGATTAATCCGAATAGTTGGTATTAGCATTATTAATATATTTCAGAGTCCATAATGATGTTGTGGAGGAGACTGTTGTATTTTTGTAGGAGTTTCGAAACAAATAATCTTCGTTGGCGTTGCTCTTCTTCACATTCATGGAAAAAAAGACCCATGACTGCAAACACAGTGTTCATGACTGCAGTGTTATGATAACATGTGATGAGAGTGATAATGTTGCAGTGTTATGATAACTAAAGAAGGAGAATTTGATTCGAACATGAATTCTTTGAGATATTCTGGAAAAGCCGAACAATAGCAGCACATAAAAAATTAATTAAATTGAAAAAACATAGTTCCCTTCATTCTGTGTTAAAAATTTAAACAAGAGAAATTTAAGTATCCTCATCGGCTAAATGAAGACGCGTGTGCTGGAGATAAGGAGCAATTAAGTGGAACATCAGACCAGGAATGTATGGCGTGCAGCCTAGCAATGCAGTAAGCCAGAGCCTCCTTTGGTCACCGAGTTCATCATGCATAATGACAGGCCGAGCTCCAGGCTTAACCCTTCGTTAATCTCTCCCCTGCCCATTACTGACTTGATGATCCTCAACACGCAATGGCATTATGTTTATCTAAGACCCGAAGATCTTTATCATCCCATCCCAAAAAATTCTTATCCTCCTAATAACAGTTAATTTTTAACTCTAAAACGGGTGTGGTTAATCAATAGTATTATGAATGCGATAAGCATGCTAAAATCGGTACTTATCAACATAATTATATCGCACATTTGTTTCTAAAAACGTAGCAGATAAATTTATGCCTCAAAAAGAATATAGGGAGCAAAATTTCACGACGAGGGCTTCACGCTATCTTCGTAATAAGTAACGTGCCTCGCAGGAATGACCTGACTCACAGCACGCGTTNTCCTCGTGTAGCATGATCCGAGCCACGCCACTGCGGCTACAGATCCTCGTGTAGCATGAGCCGAGCCACGCCACTGCGGCTACAGATCCTCGTGTAGCATGATCCGAGCCACGCCACTGCGGCTACAGATCCTCGTGTAGCATGAGCCGAGCCACGCCACTGCGGCAACTCATCCTTGTGAAGAGCGAGCCGACCAGCATCTATTCGACAACAGATCCTCATATGGCGTGCGTCTCGCATCGTCTATCCTGCCACAGCCTCACACCATTTTTATTCATTCGGTCACGAAATAAAATTTCTTTCCCAGCTATTTTCTCTAGGCTTTCTGCGACAGCTGCCAAGCTGTGCTTTGCTTCAAGTTTAGTTATCTTCTGAACCATTCTCGACAACACATTGGGAAATAGTTTCAATAGGATACAGAATGTTATCATTACCTTTTAACCAAATTTTTATGTTTTCCAATGTGTGAAATTTAATTTAGGACTGGTCATTAATTTGTGAGCTGGTCTGTGCTTATGTTCAGTTGATGATGCAGAAAAGACATGTAGCTGTAATTAGAAGCTGATGAATGTATCATCCTAATTTTCTACTGAATCTACATAACTGGATTTCACCGGTAATAGTTATTGCCTAACTGATGCCCCTGTGTAACTGTAACATCACGCAAATGATTACTTTATTTTTAATTAGATCGATACTTCTAAACTACTTATGGACATGATTTATGTGAAGTCAAAGTTTATTTAACTGGTAATTCAGAAACGTATTCATTAACATCAGTTTTAATTATGCACGACACAGATAAATATATCAAGCAGGTTTTATCACATTTAGCAGCAAAAGTCCCTCCTCATTTTCTGCAGTTCAAAAGTTAATTTAGCTTGTAAAACTTCCTTCATTATGCGTAGCTGGCAAATACCGCGATCCAGAGTTGTCTTGGTAACAAACAGACAAGAAGTATTGGCAACCGATATTGGAAACTTGTTCCGGACATCTACCTGGACTCCTTGAGAAGTTTTTTCCGGCAAGGCCCTACAAATATCAGTTATACAGACCCCTTTTGCGCAACTCAACCGCAGTGAGGAATTGCAGGCGCTGTCTTATGTCACTTCTCGTTATTGCGCAACTTTCTGCAATCAGTGAGAGGAATGGCTTTAGAAGTTTCAATTTAATTTATTCATAGATGATCTCCGAGTGAAATTAAGGAATGATTTATGGGTTTAGGTTATAAATAAGGTATTTTTCACAAGCATCATTAAAAGATATATTTTCCTGAATATATACTTTTTATACTTACTTTACGATACTTTTTACTGAATTAATATAGCTAAATGCCTGTTTATTTCTAGCTCAGTTAAAAAAAACATTGGTTTATTGGCAAACTGGCATAAGCAAAAATTTAGTTCAATAGTAAAAAATATATTATACTGCATTTTCCCAAAACACATCTAACAGGAAATCTTTTTGGTAGAAAATTTAATTTTTTAAAGAATAGTGTACAATTGTCTGTATGATGCGAATATAAAACAGAGACATGTGCCTGAAGTTAGTGACGGTCACAAAATTAAGCTTCATTGCTTTTTATTACCCAAGGTAAGTGCTTGACATGGCTTGATTCAGCATACAATTCTTTTTTGACAATATGAAACGTTGACACCTTTTATTAATTCTAATTTTTTCGTCTTCATTTGAGATAATTAGCGCAAGCCACTTAATAAAGACTCATGCCCTAATTTTTCTATCTCCAAAGCAAAACCGAGTCTTCATGTATGAAAGCTCGTGACTAATTCAAGTATTGAATGAATCAACCGAGAAAAAAGTTAATATGATCGATACTAAAACTAACATTTTTGCCTGAACGTGTTTCAATCATTCACATGACACGTGCCATGCATGATTTTAAAATTCAGACGAAATTTGGATCCATTAACATTGAAATCTGGGCATATTATCTGAACAGTTTAAAGGCATTCAAATTTATCAAGAGAATATCTAGAAGTGTGTGGACAAATGGACTTGAAAGAACGCATATAAGGGTTTCCTTACCAGCTATTTTCGTATGCCGGTCTAGATGGAAAGCATGCAGTACAGTCGGGCAATGCCTGTTATAAGCAGAGATTGAATGCTGTAGCTCGTCCAGTGATTGACATACGCAGAGTTTTGTGTCGTGCCCTGCGTGACTGTTTTTCCCGCTATGATGGTGGTCATGCTTAACAACAATCATGCCCCACGCAGCATCGCTGTTCAACATGTACAAATTATGATCGAATGTGGATTGTGAGGACGGCAGAAACGCGATGCATTTGTTTTTTAAGCGCAACAACTAATTTTACGAGTTCAAATTTAACCTATTCCGTATTTTTTTATATTTTCAAATCTATTATATCGAAGAATTTGATATACCTGACTCGGCTCCCAGATATCAGGTCGATAAGTCTCTCGAAAGCATTAAATTTTATATATCCTATTTTAGTCCTTATTTGCAAATTCGCACATTGGTTATCGGTTGCAGTTGCAATATTACAGAGACTTTTCACCAGATCCAATGTTCGAGTTACATTTTAACTGTCACATATGACGAAAAAAACGGGCATAAAATTCCAAATTCTGTTGCTTGGGATGCTGTTACTTTGGCTCATGCGAAGAACCTTTTGACTCCCACGACCGCTCTTGCTAAAAAATATAAAATTCAGTTGCCAATATGACGCCAAATGACGCACTAGCTCGGATTCTCATTAATATCTCAAACATCCAATTCACCGCAGTGATAGTCAGAAAAAATTCTATGTAGAATCGATTTGAAGAAAATCTTCTATGTATAATAAACTTAAGCTGAATGAGAGTTAAGCTGCGAAATTCTTGTGATGGATTATATCAGAAGATTCTATTGGTGATGACAACGTGGTAGATACGAGTGGTAGTAGCATGATAGATATTGGCTGTGACAATGTGATAGATATTGATTGTGACGATATATGATATTAGTGGAATAATCATAATGAATTTGTTTGCATTCGATTGAATTATATTATGTTTTTATGATCTAATATGGTTCAAAATGAATATTCGCAGACGGAACATAATTTTCAAAAGAAATTTCATTTGGACATTCACGATTATTTCATTTGAACAGGCACTAGCTGTTGTTTATTTCATTTGGACAGGCACTAGCTGTCGTTTGTTTCATTTTAGCACAAAGTGTTTTATGTTTCATACATTGACAGAGAACATAGTAAGGCTAATTTGAAAAGACTCTGTTGCTTATTTTATTTATCAACAGACACTGTTGTTTGTTTCATTAGAAAGACTGCTGCTTTATTTGAACACGCTGATGTTTGACTCGACTGGACTTACTCATTAATGGTTTGATTTAGCGACCGACACTGTACGTTATTTATTTAATATTCACAGATGATATTGCTTGTTTTAATGGGGCTGACCATGTTGCTTGTTTCGATTATTAAGTTGCAATTATTATGGTAATTCTTGCAATTATGGCTAGTTATAGGTTCTGATGATATTAAGTTTGAAATTTTGACTTTTCAATGATCCGCATTGACATTTTTTTATTGATAACAACCAATCCTGCGTTCAGTGCGATCTAAATTATTCCAGATTGTAAAGCTCCTGGTCATGCAGATATCTTGACCTTATTTTTTTAATGGCATCCAGGCTTCTCATAGTCACAATTTAGGCGGAACGTAGCCCACCTTCAAGAGGGCAGGAATCAATATCGGTTGCGTGGCGCGTTGCTATCGCTCGCACTTGCCACTGATAAATCATAAAAATATAAGGTAATATTGCTGCTATACCGCTATCAATGACACTTTTTTTGGAGTGAACCTTCCATTGAAGGCTTGTTCAAAAGTCGCACAATGAAAGTTTCAGGTATAAAGATACCGTTTTACTATCAAAGAAACCGTGCAATTTCAATGAAACCTTTTCTTGTGGTGTGAAACGTTCTTCGTAAACGAGAGCTTTATTTGGTGATCGAGCTAGCACTGGAAGACTGTAATAATTTTCCACTTCATGATAAGAAAAATTTTTCTGTTATTTTTCATCGTGTCGCTTGGGAAATTACCGAAACAATTCGTAAACTATTTCAGAGGGAAGTTATTCTTAAATAATTTAGTTTTTCCAAAAAATTATTCCTCTATTAAATAAAGCTGTTATTCAATGAGCTTCCAGTCTATCTTCAGGTGTTACCATGTTAATAAAAATTGTTCCCCAATCGGCATGACATATCCGTTAACATAACGCCGATATTCCAGATGCAAGCAGAAGAGGTTAATGGAAGGAAGGCTCAGAATTTTCCGATCATATTAGAACTAGATTTATTTTATGCGCACCCAAATAAAGCATTCAGAATTATGATCCATTGTGCCACGATGTCGATCCGCTCATTGAAGTGCTCGAGCAAATAAGGCAAAGGCTGTGGAATCACAGCGTTCCATTTTACCTTCATACATTATGCACATAACTCTTCTTATTTTTATGTAGCAAGAAGAAATGAATACAAAATATCTGGCAAACAGATATTCATTAAAATTTATGTGCAAGAAATTTGGGCTTCGGGATAGCATACTAGTATTTTTTGTACTTATATATTTATATATGTAATATATTGTCTAGTATTTACGCATCTACCTGTAACTAAACTTAAGTCTACGTTTTAATGATATGTTTGCTCAATATAATACTAATGTTTCATTTGTAAAGAAATTTAAAGGAGGAGAGAAAATTTTGAGATACACAAAATAATTAGAATAATTTTTTTGTTTGTTTCTGTACAGACGAGGCGATGTCGCCGTTGTTTTTGTTATTCGTGATCTCTACAGCATCCGGCGATGGAACGTCTAAAAGTAAGTTTCATCATTTCATATCAATGAATTGAGTGTAGAGTATCTGAAGAGTGTGAGTAAAGTGGGGGAAGATTGGCCCATAGTGTGAGTGTATAGTGAAAAAAGTGGGTTCATAGTCTGTGTGTAGAGTGTGTGCATTGGGTTGGAAGTCTGGGTTTATTTCGTAATTATAGTGTAGGACCAAGCCGTTTCCAGAGCAAAAGCCATTTCATAGTGAATTTTGTAATATTTATGAATTTTTTACATAGTGTCATGGTTGAGCTTACGATACAAGTGAATATAGTAGTGTAACATTTATGATGAGTTTTATTGAATGTTCACTTCTGATAAAATGGCGTTGTTAGTTTTATATATAGCTCGGCCACCATTCTAATGCTCCAGTGAATACATTACCCGCTAGTAACTTTTATTCAACACACTCTCGCGCACAAACTAACGGAGAAACACAAACAAATAAAAAATTATTTATTTTGCGTATACTCTTGAAGAGTATTTTACAGCGCTCCCTGGCATGCAACTGAAGTGCATTTAACATCAGTTTTAAGTAATATCCGGAGACAAAGATAAAAATATTGAAGCAATTTTTTTCAGGCAGTGAGTGCAGACGCATTAGAGCTTATTATTTTCTACTACTCATCGGTCAGTCAATTTAATAATTTCAACCAGCAGGACTCATGTTAGTGAGATACTCTTTTATTTGGACAATTTCTACTTGCCAACACTGTTAATAATTCGATTGTCACTGTTAATAGTTTAATTATCACTGTTAATAATTTAATTATCACTGTTAATAATTTAATTGTCACTTTTGACAATTTAATACTAACTGTTAATATTTAATTTTCTCTCAATTGTCACTTTCAATTGTGAAGTATCCCATGCATATTGCACAGACATAATTTATTCAGGAATTTGTATTAGTTTTCTACCTCACCATCACGTTCGTTAACACCCCCATCCAGAACACCAAGCATTATTTTACTTTCTTATGTCACGAGTTCATTCCCTGTGCAACATAACGCAACACAACGCTGACACTGTACAGCTCTCATGTGATGTACATAAGCAAATAGTGAACGGGGTTTACAACAACATATTACCAGTAATTGAAATATTAATAGCTAGTTATTTTGAAGAAAGTGATGCTATGGAATAATGTGAATTATGGAAAGTGATGCTTCCGGTAATTCGATTTCTGTACTATGTTGTCCAGGTATCTTCATGAACAATATTGTAATATACTGCGGCTAGAGCATACAAAAATCTGAATATTGGAATGTAGAATGGTATCGCTGGAAATGCTATGATTGGTTGATAGACAGTTGTCAGCACATGATAATAAAATTTCGCAATAAATCATAACCTACAAACGAAACAATATCATTAGATTGCTTTATGTTTGTGTCTTGTAACTTGACCTTAAAAATTTTTCTATTGGTTGATGTTCGAAAAGGAAATTTGCTGCACAAAATGATGGACCACGTTACTATTTTTGCAGGCAGTCCTCAGCAATACCTTACTCTGAAAGCCGCAAAGTCTGCGGGCGTGAAGGAAGAGCCAGCGTTTGAAATAGTGGACCTGTACCCACTCAACCACTATCCAAAAGTTGTAAATAATTCCGTAAGCAACATTACCGGCCAGATCGGCTCGTCCGTCTTCCTGCCGTGCCGCACACAGCATTCACTGGAGAGACAGGTTAGTATTGTACTACTCTTACCGTATATGCTTGTGGGTTAAGAGCAACATTGGAGAATCGTATGAATTTTCGAGACAAACACACAGATGCTCACAGGCTTCAGACAATACTCACTGGGTAAGTGAGTAATAATATATGCAGATTAATAACATGTGAGAATGCGATGGAATTCCCAGTTGCAACGAATTTATTTTAGTGCGCTTCACCGCGCGCTGTGACTTCAAAGGCTCGTCATATCCCCTCAAGGGACTGAAGACGTAGATGCAACGTGGGAGTGCGTGTGCACTTCCGAGCATCTCCGGTGATTTGTCTGAGTCGGCGCTCGAGCTATACGCCGGCTACGCCTCATTTGTCTCGAATAATATTAGTACGGTGGGATATAAAAATGAATATGACGATATTGCAAGGTTGTGTTAAAAGCGGTGGAAAAACGAGCGTATTGCTGGTAAATATTATACACTAAAATAGCTCGAATTCTACTATTATAATCAAGAATTATATATATTAACAGTCGTTCAATAGATAGCCAGATTCTAATTAATGACGAAGTCGTACCATAAAATGGCTCAGGAACAGAACGAACACATAACGACGGAACAAAGAACGCAAATCTTCTAAGAGACGCACTTTCCAAAGCATTAACCAAATCGGGCCTCGAGAAAAGCGTGTGCTTCACACAGAATAATTAAAGTGCGTTGCAAAGAGAAAGTACGTAAATACTACTCGTACTATGAGCGGCAAATGCAATTCCGAGAAAAGTTTCACAGTTTTCAAAGATACATCTGATGTGCGGTTGTCAAAAAACTCATCGAAACGGGACTAGGTTGGTTACTATTAGGAAACTAAAAATGGTCAGGTAATTCCGGTATCAAATATCAGCCTATTAATATATTAATATTGACAATGCTCGGTATTTTAAATTATTTTTGTTAATGCTGAAGAGTAATTAATTATTTTCCATCACGATAATTAATGAATGTGAAATTTATCTAGATACAATTGCCAGCTCAAATTCAAAACAGAAGACATTTGTTGAGGGATTGTAAATGTTGCAAGTATCATGTTCGCATAATTCAGCACACTCGTACATTTTCATAGATAATTCATTACTTAGGTAAGATATACCGCTGACTGTTTTGTTACTGCAATTAACTAACTAACTTGTTTCCGCGTGTTGATTTACAGGTGTCATGGGTACGGAGGCGTGACTGGCACATTCTCACGTCAGGACTCACGTCCTACACGAAGGAGCGTCGGTTCAGTGTGCACCATCCCGAGGGTAGCACCGAGTGGACGCTGGCCGTCAAGTACCTCAAGCTGGATGATGCCGGTACCTACGAGTGCCAGGTAAGGTGAATTTTACTATAGATACGTGAGTGGTTTGCAGGAACTGCTGTACTTTCCCTCTTTGGATGTTGAGCAAAGATTCGCGCCGGTACTCACGAGAGCCAGGTGAGATGGATCTCATTATTGAAGCATTAATGTACTGCAGGAACTGCTGAACACAAGACTTACATGACGGACATTTATTCTTAAGATTTTTACAAAGAATTAGAACGATACCAAAAAGGGGCCTAGCCGGAACTAAGTTGTGGCCAATGATGGTATGCGAGGTAATTTGAAGCTGGCCGTGCACACTTCGTACTCTGATCAGGGGGCAGAATGCTACCGGTATATATGAGTGCCAGGTAGGGTGGTGCTTACGAATGTCTTCTTGGTGCGAGGTACAAAAAGATGAACATAAGTGGTGAAAACTTTATGTTCTGATCTAGATGGCCAAAGTTTTGTATTTTTGACACTCAATATTTATTATTGTCACGAATAGCAAAAAATCTGTCGGAAAAACTCAGTCGGAAACTCTGTCGGAAATCCGGTGTGTTTTGATGCTGATAAAAAATGTCGACTAGAAAATATCGACAAACAAGCACTTAAAGTTTGAAATTTTCGGTAAGCCTGAAGCATTCAGAAGTACCTGACTGACCTGGCGCCGGAATTGTTGGTCGTTCAAAACCAATTGTTTGATACGGCAATATTTAGACGATGTCATGGTTTTTGCTTGAAATATTTTACAGAACACAGCCGTGTTTAAGCCAAAAGATGGGTACGCAGTTGTAGAAGAGACACAATGGGGTTGGTGCAAAGAAATTAAACTACGGGATTCTTTAAATCTCTTAGAACCTCGTCGTCTCTTATTTGGTCATCAAAATAATGGACTTCTCTCATAATTAATTTCTGGCTATATATCCTCGTAGGCTACAAAGATTTCTTGGTGGCGTGTTAGGGTAGCATCTGTATTGATCAGTTCCATGATATAAGCGTCATTAGCCGCAATTGTACAGGTAGTAATGGGTGCTTCATCGGCGATGCATCGGATTTACATTATTTGGAAAAATATAACTCAGTACTCACTGGAGTGAGTGACAGAGAGCGCATTTTCTCGTCGACGAAAACTTGAGGTCACGGACAGACGGACGGATGGACATGGCGAGCACAATAGTGCATTTTTTCCATAAATGAGAAAATCCGCTAAAAAGATGCGACGAATCGCGCGGAACATTTCTGTAACTGATTTCACAAAAGTTTTGAATAAAATATGTTCTATAGACTGAAAATTTGCCTTTAATTTGCTACTCTGAACATAAAATCGAACAACTCATAATTACTTCCAGTTTTGAACTGAAGTTTGGATGGTGCTTCCAGCTCCTCAGCGATGTGTACAAATGATTTTTAGATGTCATAATCGTTGCATTGAAAACTAAAAAGGCACTATGGCTCGAATGATTTTGTATTATTGTTACACAAATTACCTTCCTTTTGTTCAGATTGATTGTTCACACGCATTTCTATGTACAATTAATTAATCCTGCAACGATACTCCCATATATTTAATTGGACCGCTGCAGCCTTTTCTCCCACTCCTACAAATTGCAAATTCCAAATTAACCCGTAAGGAGATGTGACTGGAATAAAAATGTGGAAATCCCCTAGTAAAGCATTTCTTCCCATCAGAAAACATTACTGCTTCAAATCGGGATTGTTCGATGTTTATCATTCTTAACACCGCAAAAAAAGACGACTGAAAGAATATTAACCTCGAAGAGTACTAAGCTTTACCGAAGTTTAATTTACTTACCTTTTACTTACTTACTTTACTTACTTTTACTTACTTTACTTTTTCTCAGGTAATGTTAAACTTTTTGTGCATATTCTTCCTAACCTGGTTTCCCTCGTGACCGAGTACACAGTCTTTATGTTGCCCTGGCCTAAATGATCTGTAAAATCTCGTATTTGTTCATAATTCAGAGTTAATTGTGGAATGAATCGATAGGATTGCAGAAACCAGGAATGGCCAGAGTAGTAATTATCGGGGTAATAATATGAACATTCTGTTATGGATGAATAATACTATATCAGCTACATCCCTTGCCTAAAGTCTATTAGTTCGACGTTCGTACTAATGTCCGTGAAAGCCTAAATCGATTTTTATAACTGGTAATAAGCCAAGTTGTATGGGAAAACCGAGTTAACTTTCAGTATCCTTCGATGACAAATTGCTTCCAAGAAAGTCTTTACACTGGACTTGTTCAAAATCTTGCACACAAAGTATGGCTATATCTGATATTTTTCTCCAAAGAGGATGAGAGTTATTTAATATTTTTATCACACAGAATGACTCCCGAAGCGGCAGCACTTCTGCCGGTTCCTAGCAATTATTCCGGCCATTCCTTTAAATGGGTAATTTGATACAAGGCACCATAGTTACCTCCCTTATAGTTATCACAACAATTGATATTACTTTAATTGGCATAGGCTCATTCTGTGTTCATTGAGCTTAATGACGAATAAATCTTTGCAATTATTTACAATTTATGATCTAGAAGACCATAAAGCATCATAAATTTGGAATGACTACGCTCGCAATCTCTGCAACCTGCGATGGCATTTTCAGGTTCCTGCAGCTTGACGCAGTGTCAAGTTGTACACGGTATATACTGTATAATATACGTTTAAAAATTACTTTTTAAAGACAACACTTCTGAAGAATCCAGTGTCTCCAATGTTACAGATGTACAATGAATTTCTCATGCTATTTTTGAATATTAAAAAAATAAATTTTTCAATTTTTTTGCAATATATATATATATTTTTGAAAATTATTTATTCTGTCAATTGATTTATGCATTGTCTCCGACTTCACACAAGGTGCAAAATTTCAGATCAATTGGACAGGTAAAAGTGTGTCAAATATCAGTTATAAGATTTGTAGCTGACAAAATTATTTTTTCAATTTTTTTAATATTGGAAAAAAATTAATTTCTAAAATAATTTATTTTGTCATTTAATTCCTGCATTGTCTCCAACTTTACGCAAATGTGCAAAATTTCAGATCGATAGGATAAGTAGAAGTGTGTTAAATTTCAATTATAAGATTTATAGCAGACAGACAGACAGACGAGACAGACAGACAAACAAGAAGTGAAGTTAAAGAGAAGTGTTGTAAAAAAGGTATTAGTATCAGTTAAGGTCGCAGCTATGGTACTTATTGTACCGTTAATGAGTATCAAGAAGATGGAATAGAAGATGCTCCTATCAGTAATGGTTAAAGATATAGCAACAATTGCTACGTTCTCGCAGTTCAACTGAAGTTCAGTGGATTTCAGGCGGTGACTTTAAAATTTGTTTGATCATCTAATCACAATAGCGGGCTCGTGTGTGTTGTGCAGGCAATCGATCCGTTCTTTTATGATCGCGTCAAGTATTATTATTTTTCAAATAAATTCTTTGCACAAATAATTGATAGTTCTTTACCCATATCAACTCAAATACTATTAAACACTACCATATTGTTATTTTTTAGCGCATTTTCTCATTTATGGAAAAAAGGAGCTATTGTGCTCGTATTGTCCGTCCGTCTGTCCGTCTGACCATGACCACGTTTTCGTCAACGAGAAAATGCGCTCTCTGTCACTCGCTGCAGTGAGTACTGAGTTATATTTTTTTAGCTCGGCTCATCTTATTATTGCCCAGTAGAAACCATACCTCATTAAAATAGACCCGTTTTATCTACCAACATCTCCCAATACCGTTCAAAATTTGATCCCAAATGACTAATAAGTGCATTGTCATTCATTCCAGATATCAGGAGGAGCAGGCATGGTATCGCAGTTGTCTATACTGACGGTGGTGGTACCACAGGCTGTGATACCAGGCAATGGCGAGTATCACGTTGACACTGGCTCTACCATCTCCCTCACTTGCTTCATCGAGAAGGTAGCCTTCAACATTGAGTGAGAACTCTTTAGTCAGTTTATTATAGATTTTGATACACTCGCATCATACAATTTCTCATAATGGATGTGGCTTGCTCATTACATTATTTAATTAACACAATATTAACAACCTAACCGTTAAGTGCAGTCTTCAGCCAAATTGAAGATATACTCTTTTCATTTGTCTCATATATATTAGCAGGTTAAATCTCATATTGGATCCCTCTTACCTAATTGAGTGCAGGTGGTTAACAAAAGGGCGAGCGTAATATTCCTTGCTTCAGAACAATGCCCTCTGGAGATCTTTCGTGCTCAGAAGCATAAGGAATTTCTTATTCGAATAAAACTGCGTCGACTGCGGGACTTTTTTATTCAGAAGGAAGACTGTAGCAATGAAATCAACATACGAGTAATTTAATCAGCCATCTCTATCTTTTAATTCTATTTCTAAAATAGTTTATTCCGCCATCTTTTATTTCAGAAAAATTATTTCAATTAACTTTTCTGTGCGACTTTTGAATACAATATGAAAGCGTACTCGGTGATATGCAGCATCGTTCTTTTATTAAATCATAGTTAAATAATTCACAACACGATAACGCATCATGACACGATCAATTATAGATAACACATGCCAAACAAATGCAGAATCAAGTGCAACGCGAATGAACATAAATGTGTAATAAAAATTACTATCAACAAAATAATACGTTCAATACTTCTTTGTATAAAAACTTCAAACTGTGTTGTGGACATCTATCATCTCTGAATTGCGAATTTGTTGCACGAATCGAAATTTAATCATTTTAAATTCAATAGTGTAATTTTTAATGCATTACTTTATCGGTAGCCTATCAAAAGAACAACAGTTTTGCCCAGAAATGGAGACTATGCAGACTTCTGATGTCCATTTACCTCGCTAAGTGCATTGCAGGGCAAAAATAAATAATTTAATATGTTCATTGTCGCAGCTTAAATTTTTCGTTACCCCCATTGAATATTTCAAGAGAATAAATGGTTTCCTAATGCTACTCTTTGTTGATCAAACTCAGTTGGTTCAACTCACAAATTGTCAAACATGTATTTATGAATAATTATTCCAATAATTATTCATAGATTAAGTAAAATAATTTTTTGCAGCATTCCAAATATATTTATATCAGTATATTGATAAATGAAGAATTGTTGATTAATTATTGAAAATATTTACATTTCGACCCCACGTATATAGTTCAATGTAACCTCTATATCATTAGTAAGTGGTAGGGACGTAGCAGCCCCAGGCCACGCTGTGCTCAGCCTCCATATTCCGCCAGTAGGCAAGTCGTCGTCTCGGCCGAGGTCTCTGGGACTGGTCATGCAGTGTACTTCTTTGATACAGTTTACTTCTTTGATACAGTGTACTTCTTTGATACAGTGTACTTCTTTGATACAGTTTACTTCTTTGATACAGTGTACTTCTTTGATACAGTATACTTCTTTGATACAGTGTACTTCTTTGATACAGTGTACTTCCTTGATACAGTGTACTTCTTTGATACAGTGCACTTCTTTGATACAGTGTACTTCTTTGATACAGCGTACTTCTTTGATACAGTTTACTTCTTTGATACAGCGCACTTCTTTGATACAGTTTACTTCTTTGCACCCGGGTACTGTAAAGGAACTTTGCAGTGCATGTTCTCCGGAGCCATAACATTCTTGAAATATGGCAGAGCATGATGGCACCTCAACAATGCTCCTTATCACCAGTTTACATTTGTCCCGGCAGAGTACGGCAACATCTTAGGATAAGATCTTTAAATATTCAACCCATATGGGCATCGGCAGAGTAAAGTAGCACCGCAGTGCATTTTCTCAATGTCCAGTACACACTTTTGCTTTGGGAGAGTACGGAAGCATCTTAATAAATTTTCTCAGCATCTATTACCCTATTGCGCCCTACCAGAGTACGGTAGCACCTCAGTACATGTTAGCTTCGTCTTAGTAGATAAAGCTATGGAGAAATATATGTTCAGACTTGAAAAGCCTTGCACCTTATCGAACCGGGTGACTATAGTAGCTATTTCAAGCTATCGTCAGTTTAGAAAAGATCTGGTCGAAGGACTTGTTTTACGATCTCCTGTGGACAAGTCACGAAAAGACAATAATCGGCGACAGGTCACATCAGGCCTACTCTTCAGCGCTTACATCACTTTGAAATGATATGATGTTGTTTGTGTCCTGACAGAGTACAGTAGCACCGCAGAAAATGTTTTCTACATCCATTACCCTCATGTGCCCTCACAGAGTTCGGTGGCACCGCAGTACATTTTCTGGTACCACAACTCGCGCATGATCAACTACGACCAGGAGCGCGGTGGGGTGGTCGTTCACACGGAAACGGAGCCTCGCGTCATGTCGCGTCTCACCATCGCCGACGCCCGACCCTCAGACTCCGGCAACTACACATGCGACGCAGAAAACACAGAAGCTGCCAGTATCACTGTATACATCACTCAAGGTCAGAAATATGGCCATGTTTTTCTGGCCTATATGTAAGAATTAATTTTGCGTAATTTTGTCTCCATGATGAGCATACCGCAAGTTATTTCACATTATTATTATTATTTGACGTAGCAAATCATTTTAATATTTTCGGTTCCAGATATTAACTTTGAATTATTTATAAAATTTGAACAAATTTAAATAATAGTAGCCCTTAAATTCACAAATTTCAATTGCGGTAGGCCCTCAATTTTGCTGACCTAAATTGAACCAACTGCGGCCTTGCATATGCATGAATGTCAGCGAGCGAGCATTAAGGGCATTGAGTCGCATCCATTTTACGTAACCTCAGCACGAAAATTACGGCCTAACAAGGTCAAGTGCAACGTCTCCCGTCGTTATTGAATCAAGGAAAATATCTTATTGGCCAGCCAGTTGGCCGTCTGTCACTCGGGAATTTTTGTAGTCGACCAGCAAAGCCTGTTGTTTTCCAACCGGTTTGCAGTTTGCGGTTCTTGATAGAATGGGGATTCATTCCTCCTTCCATTCCCCTTAAAATTCAATTACGACAGGACGTAAAGGAGTGGCTATTGAAATTTATTTCAGCCTGAGATCATAACTTCAAATTATGTAGTTTTCTTGTCTAATTTCTAACCTATTTTTAATCATTTTTCGCGTCTTTTGAAGCATAAAAAAAAAGAATTATAGTTAAGTTGTCTATCAAACTTCAGGTGAAAATAAGAATCATAGAACATAGGTCACCTCAACGAAATTAGAGCCGAATTGAGATTATTACTTTATTTCCTTTTTTCAGGCAACAATATTGCTGCAATTCAACCCAGAGACGTGAATCACAGCTCGCCCCTGCAGAGTTCAGCTGGAATAATTTTTGTAACCGCAATTTTTGAGCATTTGTTTCTCACCATTTTTATCTGCAGAAGTTTTATGAATATTCCATGCTTGATACCGCTGCCTGATTAGATTGAACACGCTTCTATCGCCCAATTGCATTTACCAATTCCGGATGGCAGAGATTCTCGGTGAATAACTTAGATGTTTGATGGTAATTGATGTAAGATGGTTTTATACAATTTCCAAATCCATAATTTGCAAACTATGTAAGGAAGTTTTGTGTTGTGAATATATTTCGTTGTACGTTGTTCGATTTTAGTTTTTCTCAAAATTTTTGCGCTTATGATTCCATGAAGCAAGACTGTGAATATTCAGATCGTAAACAAATACGTAAAATCTGCAAAGTTTGAACTTTATTTTTATTTAAACTGAAAATGATTACATCCAACCATAATATTGTGATAACTTTTAACCAGGATAAAGTGCTTCAAGCATGCACTATTTTACTGAAAAAGAGTGGAAGTTCAGTGAAAGTTCCACGAGTGAAACGAATGCAGGAAAAAACTATTCATGTCATTCTAACTTGTGTTCAGTTTAGATTTTGGTCTTTGTCTTCGTATGCCGAGTTTTAACTCCTCTGTGTGTGAACTTTCAATGTCTTTTGTGACTTCCACACCACTTTGAGATAAGTAGTTTAAGATACGGTATGAATTAAGCGAAAATGTCAACTATATGTGTGCATGGCTCATTGAAAATTATGAATATATTTCCATTTAAACTGTTTCGTTTTAATATCCAACAACAGCTGCCTGACGATATTTTGAAATGAATAATACGAATACATCTATATCAGAACTCAAATTTATAAAAAATCTTGATGCAAAATAACAAAAACGTTTGAGTTTTTGAAATTCTAAGAAGAAATCATCTATAAGTGGCCCTTACATAAGCGAATTCAAGTATTCTGGTCTTATTTTTGGTTGTCTAAGCAATCTTCACACCTCCGCGTCACAATAAAGAGCAACGTTGAGGCGTCAAAATATAATATTCGGTGTAATTCACTAGAATTTGGCGACTTTGCTGCGACTAAGTTATCCTAAGGAAACCCTTTCTAAGTCAACATTCACCGAAAGACTTGGTCTGTTTAAACACATGTGTGAATGGAACTATCAATGCAGGGTAGAAGAATATATCTTCAACGCCCACCGCATCAATAAAATGTAAATAACAACAACTATGTGATCATTTACAGTCGCGAATTACGGAAAAATAAATCTATTAAAGTACTTTAAAAAATAAAAAATTTAACTGCGTGCAGAGCAAAGCACCGCTCGTGTGGGGTAATGAAACGTGTAGTCATCTGTGACGGAGCAACAGATCATTGAAGGAGATATCCTTCCATTTTTATGGGAGTAGATCTTTGATTCGGAACAATTCAAATCAATATAGGAATAATAAATGTCAATAGATCAACGTATAAAAGTGCAACTATCAACGGATCAACAAATTAAGGTGTCAATATCAACTAATAACAAATTGCAGTGTCAATATCAACAGATTAACAAATTAAATGCGACGATATCAATGCAACAATTCCTAGTTGAAATTAATGGCCATTTCAATACCTAAAGAGAAGTGGGCATTTCATTATCACTGATGCAATCGTTTTAAAACGATAATTAATAAATTAATACGACCCGACGTGTTTCGAATAGTCCTAATCGAAAGCTAGTGCAAAGCCGCCATCGCATCACATTATTCGCACGCTTCAGTTGATCAATTCGTGGCACTCGATCAAACGGCACCGCGGGAGCCGTAATGCGATATGCGTGTTCTGCAAACAGCAGCTTATTGCGTGTCATACTCGACCGACTAGCCGGGCTCAATAAACCCCGATTTATTGTTAAATCAATCAATAACCCTAACAAAATTCGGGGACCGCCTAGGCTTCGGCCGAATAGTCACTACACTCGGCGCAAAGTTATTCTGGGTCAGTTGGCCAACGGATCGCAATCAGCGTCTAGTCAGAACCTCCTGGCCGACTTTATGGTCTCCTGAGAGTAGGGCAAGAGTTGGCAGAATCCCCTCAGTCCCCTCACCAGGCTCTGGTAGCCGTCTGATTCGGGGATCGGGATGTAGACCAAAAGCGGACATAGAGAAGCTGATTTACGTTCGGTCCGAGTCCTAGGCGGTTCCTAATTCAGGCTCGCCAGGCTCGCCAAATTTTGATAGGGAAAAGCTTGTAACTTTATAGCCCTCGTGAAACATGCCACACAAATGTGATTTGGATTGAACACACTCTCGTAACGACATTAATTTATATAATGGATTAAATTTTGTTGCCCAAGGGGAAAGTACATCAGGTATGGATGATAGATACTCGTCAAAAAGTTGATCGCAAATGATTATTTTGATTAAAAAATAAGTACACATCTCATGAGTTTATATAACTATAGCTCATAATCTAAAATCCACTATGCATTAACCTATAATTTTATTTGTTAGGCAGGCAATATTGACACATAAATTAGGTACTTCGTTGAATTTTTTCACACAAATTAGGTCATGGTTATCTCATTTCCTTGTAGAATAAATCCGAGGAGTTACGATAAGATTTAGATTAACTCAAAAAAATAATTAAAGCCGCAAATTAAAGACTTTATAATAATAACGCTAAATTTTATTGGGCCTATTGACTGTGCGACACCATAATTCAGTAGGAGGAATGTTCTAGAATTTGTGGGCATAATGACTTTATGTATTCTGTTATTAATTTCTTAGATCTTATCCCTGCCAGTTTTACGAGGTCAGTTCGGAAAATTGGCCTCGCAACTTGGAAAATTAGCCATATTTATTGATTTTATAGCCCAGATGCGATATTTTATGTGCGATAAATGGCCAATAAAGCTCCCGGCATTCCAAAGCTTATTCATCGGCAGCGTAGAAGAAAATTGCATGTGATAGCCATTTTCATTTCACCGTTCCTTTTGCTTAATGGCAGAGTATTGATTCACTGACGTGCATGAATGACAATAAGGCAAAAATTGATAAATTTTGAGGGGTTGTTTTGGTACGATTTATTTTTTTATGTCATTTAAAGTTCATTTCTTAATGTATTAAGCGATTTTAATTGTGGCTCAAATCTCCTCGGTAGACGTCAACCTTATTAAAAAAAGAAATCATGAACAACCAAAAATATTAGGTATATTTTTCAAAATATCTCAAAAAAAGCTACGAGGTGTAATTCATATCAAAATCCCTCATATTTCAGGTATATATTTCTTTTTATTTTTATCTGCGCGATTCGCTGTATCAATACCGATTGCTTTAATTATCTTACTCACAATTCAATGAATCAATACGTTCCTTTCTCTGACTGTTGCGATCAAGAGATTTAAGAAACCCATTTTCCTGTTCTTTAGAGATCCTGGGCAACACGTATTAGATAAAGTTTGGCATCGTAATTTCATCAAATTAATCCCGTAAAATATTTGCGTCGGAGTGGAGCAGGCGAAGAGCTTTTGTGGCTTCTCATTGCCAGAAGTTTTGAAAATGTGGACCATTGGCCTTCAATTTATGTGAGGAACCGTGTGCGTTTAGTCAGGAACGTAACCGTGCCGTTCCTTGGCACTATTGATTATGTTTAAAATTTGTTTAACTATTAATATGGAAGCTTTTCGTGAGTATTTGGTATAGAATAATTGTTAATGGATGTTTTAACTTGTAAGAAGGACAGTTTGGTATCAATTGCACGTGCATAGTCAGTTTATTTTCGTCTTAGTTGATATTTATTCATCGAATTAGGGAGTGTTCAACAGTTCATTCGAAAGCTAATTCTACTTCCTGAAATTAAAATAAATTCTTAAAATGGAAACATTTTGTTTGCAAATATTCATAATTTTAACGAATTCTCTTGTTGTAACTATTGAACAGAAAAAGCTAAAACGAAAGAAGGGTCCTTTCTCTTGGACGTGTACAAAAACTTTAGCGCGACCTCCCTTTTCAGTGGAAGGAGAGTTTAATCAACAATTAAAGATTGGAAAAAAACGTCAAAGAAGAAAGTATTTATTCTTTCAGAACAGTGTTCATGAGAACATCACAAAATTAATCTTGCGAATAGTAAACTGGTTCGAGCTGCTGCCCGGTGGAAGTCCTCGGGAATCGGGAGCAAGAGCTTCACCTGGCCAGCGCAAGCCAGCCAGGTAGCACAGAGAAACTGACGCGCTAAGTTCCGTGCCGCCCATCCTGTCAAAAATAAATACCAACTGATTTTAATGAAAACTAAAGCCAAAGAACAAATTGGAACAAGCTGAATGTTAGGGTTCTAAATATTAAATCTTAAATTTACGAACCTAGCAGCTATGCTCTTGTAATTCAAATGATAATCTTAGAATTAGATATTTATAGAATAAATTTGGCTTTCTAAGAAATAGTATATATTCAGTTAGAAGACAAGATGGGTTTTATTATTTGGGTTGAGAGTAGTGAAGGGGAAACGGTTATCCATAATGGAAACCGGCCGGGGCTACAAGTCGCCACAACACCCTGAGCTTAAGTGACGGACATGATTAGGAATAGGAATAGGAATAAATAAGATAAGAATAGGGGGATTTGGGGGTTTAGATGCGGAGTTTGAATTAAGGGGTGGAGCTCGAGCCGCCTAGCACGCATGCGCGGGACCGGGGGAGTATTTAACAGGAGCGAGCGGGCCACCGCAGTCAGTCCCGTGGCGGCGTTAGAGGCAGTCGGACCAGACAGTGAGTGTTTAGAAACAACTGTGGTGTTCGTTATTTTCTTGAGTCACGACGTCTCTTCAGACAACTTCAGCCGACCGCGATATATATCACCGAGAAGAAGCCAACCGAAGAAGAATATTGGAACCGCTCCGTCGTTGCAGCACGTATTTCGGACCAAACAGTGAGTGTTTAGAAACAACTGTGGTGTTCGTTATTTTCTTGAGTCACGACGTCTCTCCAGACAACTTCAGCCGACCGCGATATATATCACCGAGAAGAAGCCAACCGAAGAAGAATATTGGAACCGCTCTGTCGAAAGAGTGGAGCTGCTCTGAGATCTCACGACTTACCATCGAGTAAAAGGAACTACGACTTACGACCGCTTCAAGCAAGTTATCCTGAACTACCAGAGTAACCAGCATCCCGGCGAAGAGAACGACCACGATCGGGCCACCAGCCTCCATACTATGGAATAGAAACCCCGCCGGTCGGCCTCGAGGAACACTGGAACGACCAGGGCCCGGGCTTCACCACCAATTTCATCCAGGACGCTATGCCATCTACAGACCTCGGGTGATGTACATCTGTGAAAAATTGAAATAGTATTCTCAGGGTAGCTACCTTTAGTTATTCCCCGCGGTGTTAGCCTCAAGTAACCATGTCGTGCCTGTTAGGAGATAATATCTAGCTCGAACGCCCAGTCCTGTACTAGAGTAGATTTTTTTCTCCTTAAGTATATAAGTGTTGAACTGATAAATGTTTGTATCTTTTCCTTTGTCAATTCGTCGCCTAGCTGCCAGCGTGAGAACCTTTTCACGCGCCGACCCTCGGGCTAGAAACCTGACAGTATTTTAAAAATGTTTAATTAAAAACTCTATCGAGATGTCCATACGATTGATAGTTCAATGCAGGTGTCGAAATAATTAGTATCTTGCAATAACTATAAATCCTGTCGACGCCACCCCCTTATATCGATGATTACAGTTTAGGTTGAAAGTTGAAATTACTACATCAAGACCAAGAAGAAAGGTTGGAAATAAAT